TCTCTCTCTCTATATATATATATATATATATATAAATTTTTTGATGATATTTGTGTATCTCATATTAAACAAAATATATATAAAATTGTTAATAAAATATAAGTTTATTAAGATAATATAATACTTCCAAAAGAAAAATATTACTTTTGGTCTAATCTACTATTAAATGTATTTTTAACCCTAAACTTTATCAAATTTTACAGTAATTTTTGAACAAAATAATACTTAGTTTGTACTAAAAATAACTTTTAAATTCTAATTAAATAGGGGTTATATATATGTGTGTGTGTGTATGTGTGTGTGTATGTATTATATTCAAACCTAGAAGTGATTTTTAAGTTATTATTTGTGAAAAGATAATTAATTTATCAAATATCTCATATTTAATTAATTATTAAAATAATAAATTTCATAAATTATTTATTATTTTTTTAATATTCTCGATTTAATCCATAATTAAGATATATTATTAATCTCACTAAAACGTAAAAAAAATGTAACATATATATTTTTTTTAATTTTTAGTTTCCTAAGATTAACATAAAACTTTTTTCTTCTAAAATAATTTAAAAGATAGAGAAATAAAATTAATATAGTATATTAAAGTATTTTTTCCTTTTTAACATTTTCAAATGTAATTACATGTCATTATGATTTTATTTTTCTATTTTTTATTGAAAGTAAAATTATATAATTTTAGAGTGTGCATGACTTTGTATGAATTTTTATTTTTATTTTTGTCCTGTAAATTGCTACGGTTGGGAGGAACCATCACAATGTTGGAAAATTTTACGACGGTTGGGAGAAACTGTCACACTGTTTGAAAATTTTGCGACGATTTTGAGAGAAACCATCGCAATGTTGAAAAATTTTGCAACAGTTTTGGAAGAAACTACCGCAATGTTGAAAAATTTTGCGACGGTTGGAAGAAACCGTCGTATGAAGGGTCACAATATCAAAGCGACGACAGATTCAAGATAACCGTCATAATTTGTCAGTCACAATTCATCATTTTTCTTGTAGTGTATAATATCACCTTGATTCTTGTTGCATATGCCTGAGGTTAATTCTAGCATATACATTGTTTAGTTAGTTATTGTTCCTTTGGAACGCCTATTGATATTCATCATAGTAAGAACCTGGTATATATATCTCCTTGATTTGTTTTACATATGTTAATTATAGCATATACAATGCTGAGTTAGTTATTATCCTTTTGGATTGTCTCTTGATAGTATATGTGACGTTACCTAACAAAGTTCCAGGTATACTTACGCAGGAACTGTGAGGGGGAAATAGATCCTAAAGGTGATATATGGGCTGCTCCATATCGATGGGGCTGCATGGTAATAGCTTACAAGACAAATAAATTTCAAAAGCATAAGTTGGCTCCTATAGAGGTAAGTTGTTTTTAATAGATACTAGAAAACTCTTGGAGTAATTGTGAGAGTATGTCAAGTTGTCAACTGAAATTGCAGGACTGGGCAGATCTGTGGAGGCCTGATCTTGCAGGGAGAATTTCAATGGTTGATTCTCCTAGGGAAGTTGTTGGTGCAGTTTTGAAGTACATGGGGGCTTCCTACAATACAAATGATATCAACGCAGAAGTTAATGGTGGGAGAGATGCTGTTAAACATAATCTGGCTTTGCTAGCCAAACAGGTATTGTTGCTGGATGATCGCTCAACTGTTGCTGTTGTTTTTTTAATTTTTATCCGAATAGAGGTGGAGAACTATAAAAATCAATACCTGATAGAATTTTTTTCATTTATGTTTTACTAAACAATAATCTAAGTTGCTAATCATTTTATGTATTTGAAGGTCCGACTCTTTGATAGTTCAATCTCGACCACTCCTGGTCCCAAGTATTATCAACCACTCCTGGTTGGCTAACTTCACTCATTAGCTCTAGTATTCTTTGTTAAGCCTCTTTAGGCTCTCAATGAGTATTCTCGACCACTCCTGGTCCCAAGTATTATCAACCACTCCTGGTTGGCTATTAGTACTAGTGTTCTTTATTCAGCAACTTCTAGCTCTCAATGAGTATTCTCGACCAACTCTTGGCCCGTCAACTTCACTCATTGACGTTATTATTCTTTAATCAGCCACTTCTGGCTCGCAGTGAGTATTATTTGACAAGCCTCTCCAGGCTTTACAAGTATTCTTCTACACTCACTAAAATGTATGATCCTAAGTTACACTTAGAACACCTTAGACTATAGAGATAATTACATCAATGTACATTTGACTCCATAAGCTCTATCTCTGGTTTCCTCACTTCATGGGCTTGATATCATTCTTCGTCTATCTTTTCTAAAAGCCAGCCTTTTCAGGTTCGAAGTTGTAACATATATATAGTCTTGTGAATTTTGCCTGTTACAAGTGTCCGTTGAAGCGGACATAGTTGTTCATGACTAGTTTGATCTTTCATTTAATGCTGAGGATCTTGCATTAAATCTTGCTTCTTGTTAATGATCATTGCGTGAAGTCTTCTTCTTTTTGCTAGTAGTAGTGTCTGAATTTTGCAGAGACATAGGAATCTTTTTGTCCTTTTCTGATCACGTGGCTGTAGAGTGTTGTCCTTATCTGAAAAGTGATGTACTTTTTCTGACACATGCATGTTTTTGCTTTTGCGTGCTTTTCTTCTTCTTCTTCTTCCTTTGATCATGCTATCATGTTGAGAGCATTCAATTAATCATAGATGGTGCCTTGATTGTCTTAGGAGACTTGATTCTTTAAGTGCTTGCGTGGCAATCTTCGTTTGCATTTGTTAGTCCAATGCATCTCAATCTGTGATTTTTTTCTGAGCATTTGAGTTTAATGCTTTGACTTTCTTTTGATCTGGTCCATCGTTACAAATGGAAAGACTTTGTTCTTTGTCTGAAATATCTTTCAGTCTGTGTTGTCCTTCGTCTTATGCGTAGTTAACTTTCTTTTGACGTTTAATCCATTTTTGTCTTGTTCTTGATTTGGTCTTGTTTTGGCCTTTCATTTGATACTTCAAGACTTTGATTAGTAGTACGCTTCTTCTTATGTTGGCTGTCTTTTCATCTGACTTGATGTTTTTCTTCCTTTCTCTTGGCACATGCACATTCTCTATTCCTTTGACTTTCCTGTACTTATATTTTTCTGAAACACTAACACGCTTGTTAGAACTAACAACATGTATTATATTTGTCTCATTCAAAACCTTGCTGAGAATTGCTTTGTCTGACTCAACAAAGGGAATTAAATAAGTGACATGCTAAGTGGGTTGAATATATTGAACAATCCCCTTATGTTATCAAGTATAAAAATAGGAAGAGTAATATGGTGGTTGATGTCTTGTCTAGGAGACATTCTTTACTCTATACCTTAAGTGCTCAAATTCTTGGATTTGATAACTTAAAGAAATTGTATGAGCATGATCATGACTTTTAAACCACCTATGCTCAATGTCTCCAAAAGCCTTTTGATTTATTCTACCTTAGTGAGGGATATCTCTTTAAAATGGGCAAACTTTGCATCCCTCAAAGATTTATTAGAAAGTTTTTGGTTAGAGGGATATCCCTCTAAAATCACGGAGAAAAGCATTGTTGCTACTACACTATGCTGACATTATTTCTATAAGCTCTATTTGGTATAAAAAGTTGATAAGAAGTCTCCTTCATCAAATAAGATGTAGCATTTTATGTAGGAGCCTGAAGAGGTTGAACAAAGAATACTAGTGCTATTAGCCAACCAGGAGTGGTTGAGAATACTAAGGGCCAAGAGTTGGTCGAGAATACTCATTGAAAGCCAGAAGTGGTGCCACGCCTCCGTCCGCGCTGATCCACCGCTCGCCGGAGTTCGCTTCCGGTGACTTGAATGAGCCTCACACTCACGCCATGGAGATGCAAATAGCTATAGTTCTTGCGCCACGCTGAAATATGTTCATGTCACTTACTTGCATGTTGGTGGAATTTTATTCAAAATTACAAAATTGTAATTTTTATTAAGTTTCATCAAAGAGAGTGCCTGAAAAGGGATACAAAGATAAAGAAGTCAAGCAAGTTATTTGTATACCGTATGGTGGCCGACGTCCAGGCTGAACATCCGAACCCGTGAATGCTTAGGCCGAATATCCGAGTCCGTCGACCACTCATAAAGTGAATAAGACGCGTCGATGTGGTCGGCCAAGCTCAGGGCCTCCGCCAGGATGATTACGAAGAGCTTAATTAACATAATGCATCGGATAGCCCCCTAATTTTTCGGGGCTCAATCCTTAATCACGGCCCAATAAGAACACCTATAAATAGAGCCCCAACGAGGTATGTAACCAACTTTCAACTATCGCATTTATTACGCCTAGCACTTACTTGAGCGTTGGAGTGTCTTTGCAGGCACATCCCCCCGCTTCGGACTATTCGGATAGGATCGAGAAGACCCAGACCTAGACCCGACCCGCGACAATAAGGATAATTGAAGTGTGTATCCTAACACAAGAACATTTGGCACCCACCGTGGGGCCGAAGAGACGTTTCAACCCCTTTTTAACTCTACGACTGAGACCGAGATATGGTAGTAACGCTCAAAGGACAATCGACGTCGACTCAACCGATTCCTAACCCCGAGAATAGTCTCATCATGACTGGTCAAGAACGATGCCCGTATGGAATGCCCCAAACCCAATCGAAACCTGTGATACAAGAAATTCGGCCTCAAACCCAACCGGACCCGCATGCCGACCATGCCCGATGATTTGCGCGCATTACGCGAGGAAATGGCCGTTATCCGAAGACAAAGAGAGGCCGACGCCAGGGAGTTGGCCAAACTATGCCGCTAGAACGCTAAGCTTCGAAGCCTTAACCAGACATACGTGCCATCAACTCCTACTCTCCAAGAGGAGTCGGCATATCATGCCCCAACCGACCATGTAACCCGAACCCCGGTCACCTCTTGGATAGCTAACAAGGCCGCCACCACCACTCACTCCCTAAGGCATCCTTTCTCTCGAAGAATAAGGGAGGCAACCCGGCTAGCCCATTGGAAGAGCATGCCGATCGAGAAGTACGACGGGTCTTCCGACCCCGAGGAACACTTGAACGTTTTCTTGACTCAAGCAACCCTCTCCACTCAAGACGACTCGGCTTTGTGTCGAATATTCCCCACGTCGCTAAAAGGAAGGGCTTTGAGTTGGTTCACGAGACTGCTGAGCGCCTCCATAGACTCGTTCAGCGAATTGTCGTCCCAGTTCACCCTACAATTCGCAACGAGTAAGCCGTACAGGACGACCTCGTTAGCCTTAGCGGGGGTCCGTCAGGAAAAGAAGGAAAGCCTGAGAGGTTTCAAGGACCGATTCAACAAGATTGCAATGGAGATTGGCGATCTTAATCCTGCCGTGGCATTGGACCGGCTGAGCACTACCCTCAGGCAGGGGCCATTCGTGAACAGTTTGTGCAAGAAGGCACCCGTTGATATGAACGACCTCCGGCGACGAGCCAAGAAGTACATGCAAATGGAGGAATTGGCGGAGACCCGAAACCAGGCCAGGGCCGAGGAGAGCTACGGCCGAAAAGAATCTGGCCGAGAGCCGATGAAAAAGACCCATGCTGAACAAGTTAATACTCGCGCCCCAAGAGGACCACATTACACTGCCTACACTCCCCTAAATGCGAGTAGGGCCAAGGTGATGGAGCAGGCCCTCGCTTCAGAAATCCTCGTGATGCCGAAAAGGGAGAACACTCCCCTGAGAGCTGACAAAGCGAAGACATGTCGGTTCCATCGAAACAGAGGACACTCGACTGAAGAATGCTCAGCATTGAAAGACAAACTTGAAGACCTCATCAAGCAAGGTCACCTAAAAAACTTTATCACCCTCCACGACCAGTCCGAAGAGACCACTCTCATGAAACCCACCAGCCGAGAGACCGATGTCGCCGATCCCGATCCGCCGAGAGGCAGGATCATACGCGGCATTATAGGGAGGATAACGAACGACCAAGGAAAATAATCAACAGAATAGTCGGAGGCTTTGCCGGGGGAGGTTCCACCTCTTCGGCAAGAAAAAGGCACCTCCGGGCAGTGCGATCGATAAATAGTGTGAACCAGCCGAGAATGTTTAGGATGCCGCCAATAACCTTCTCCGATCGAGACTTTCGGGGCGTCGATCCCGTTCAAGACGATCCCATGGTGATTTCGGTCGAAATGCACAATTTCATCGTGAAGAAAACCTTGGTTGACCAAGGGAGCTCAGCCGACATCTTGTACTAGAATACTTTTGTGCAACTCGGAATCTTGGAGGAGAGCCTAGAACCATACCACGAACCATTGGTAGGCTTCTCGGGCGAAAGAGTGATGACGAGAGGATGCATTGACCTATACACCCGGTTCGGCTTCGATCAAAAGTCTTCCCGAGAGATCAAAATCCGTTATATTGTGGTGCACGCGAACACGTCCTACAACATCATCCTAGGCCGACCTTCAATCAATGCATTGGGGGCCATTGTTTCGACCCCTCACTTATGCATGAAGTTTCCATCAAGGGACGGGCAGGTAATTACTGTTCATGCCGATCAGAAGACGGCAAGGGAGTGTTACCTCTCTAACTTGAAGATGCGACCCATTGCCGACCCCCCGTCGACCACGAAAGGCGTAAATATGGTCGGATAAGAGACGATCGGGGACATTGACCTCGATCCCTGATTAGGTGAAGAAGAGAGGATCGAGCCCGCTGAAGACCTCATTCCTTTTCAGCTTGGCCGAGCACCTGAACAGGTCACAAGCATGGGATCCCAACTGAGCGAGGTCGACTCAAACCGAGTTAAGCATGTAGTTCGGGACAACCGGGATCTCTTTGCATGGACAGCTTCGGACATGTCGGGAATAAATCCCAAGTTTTTGTGCCACCGACTGGCTGTTTGCCAAGACGCCCGACTGGTTGCTCAAAAGAAGAGGAAAATGGGTGATGAAAAGAGGAAAGCCGCTAACACCAAAGTACAAAAATTGTTACAAGCCAAATGTGGTTTTAGTCAAAAAGTCGAGTGGAAAATGGAGAATGTGCACCGACTATACCGACCTCAACAAAGCCTGCCCCAAAGACGCTTACCCACTCCCTTGCATTGACCGACTGGTCGACGGCACGTCCGGACATTCCATCTTTAGCTTCCTTGACGCCTACTCCGGTTACAACCAGATAAAGATGCACCCGACCGACGAGGAAAAGACGGTGTTCATCACCAAGAACGCCAACTTCTGTTACAAGGACATGCCGTTCGGACTGAAAAATGCCGGAGCGACCTACCAAAGGCTAATGGACAAGGTGTTTCAAGGACAGATAGGGCGCAACATTGAAATCTATGTAGACGATATGTGGTGAAGTCTAACTCGGTGGGTGACCACCTAGCAGACCTGGCCAAAATCTTCGGAGAGTTGCGCAAGCATAACATGAGACTTAACCCCGAAAAGTGCACTTTTGGAGTAAAAGGAGGAAATTTTTTGGGATTTATGCTATCAGCCAGAGGAATAGAGGCAAACTGAGATAAATGTCGAGCTATCTTAGATATGCGGAGTCCGAACAATCTCAAGGAAATGCAGCGGTTGTCCAGAAGGTTAGTTGCATTGTCCCGATTCCTCCCTCGCCTAGCTGACAAGATCAGCCCGATGACAAAGCTCTTGCGGAAAACTTCGGCCTTCTCGTGGAATGAGACGTGTGAAGGAGCCTTTACAGAATTGAAGACAACCTTGGCGTCGCCGCTGATCCTAACGAGGCCCGACCCCTCATGCCCACTAGAAGTGTACTTGGTCGTCTCAGAGGAAGCAATCAGCTCGGTCCTGGTACAGGAAAAGGAGGGCAGCCAAGTCCCTATATACTTTGTCAGCCGACTACTTCAAGACCCTGAAACCCGGTACCAGTTAATAGAAAAGGTGGCCCTATGCTTGGTACACACTTCCCAACGTGATAGACTATGGCCAAGGCCAAGGAATCCAAGAGGTGATATCCTAAAAGAACCAAGAGGAATGGGATGATCTTCAAGACCTTTTCATATATTTGTACAGTTTATGCATAGTCTTTTGTATAGGTTATTTTTGCCTTTGTATTGTGAGGCACTTTAGTTGCTTTTTCCTAGTGATTGTATATTGTTTTTAAGGTAGGTTACTTGGAGAGTCTAGCTCCATTTAACCTCCCTAGTTGATACTTTCATTTTGTATTTTTTCAGTAGGAAAAAGGGGGTGACATTTAGCAATGCTTGAGGGTGTGCTTAGAAATTGGGCCTGAGTTGGGCCTAGGCAAAATTTTACATATTGGACTCATTTTGCTCCTAATTTTTCATAGATTTGATTTAGCTAGGTCTCATCATCATATGATGAACCTAACTAAACCAAATCAAGGATTTTCAAAATAAATCATGGAGCCATTTGAGACCAAGGCCGCCTAGCTCCAAGTGTTCTTCTTGGCCGAATTTCTCAAGCTTCTCCTCTTGGTTTTTGAAGCTTGCCTTGCAAGCTTCTAAACCAAGGGAGGTTAAGCCTACCTTACCATGGTTCTTAAGTGAACCATGGTCAAGGTTAGCTTCTCCTACAAGCTAGCTAAACCGTGGGAGTTTAAGTTAACCCTACCATGGTTCCTAGTGAACCATGGTTAAGGTTAGCTTCTCCTACAAGCTACCTTCCCCTATATATTTGATTTTCCTACTCTTGTACTCACTTTTGACAAATTTGAGAAATATAATCTGAATTTCTCTCCCACTCAAGAGTCACAAAAACCGAAGAGAACCCTCACTCTAAGGATTCTCTCAAAGTGCTTCTACTTTTGGCTTGGTTCCTAAAGCTTCCTTCACAAGCTTAAGGAGTGGCCGAACCTCCTTCATAGACTTCACCTCCATTGAAGCTTCTTCAAAGGAGATTTCAGAGATCTTAAGGAGTAAACCTCAAGGCATTTCGGTCCTTAGCATGGAACTCTTGAAGAAACATCAATCTACTTCAACTAGTTCCATCACGACGCCTACGGCATTACTTCCAGAGCCATCGAGTCATTGTACACACTGATTGCCCAATTTCTAAGGTCCTAGGCAAACCTGAGTTAGCCGGGAGGATGATGGTTTGGTCTGTTGAGTTGTCACAATTCGACATCACCTTCAAGCCGCTGGGACCGATCAAAGCCCAATGCCTAGCCAACTTCGTGAACGAGCTGCTCCCGCATGGTCACTTCGAAGAACATTGGTGGACCCTCCATGTGGACGGCTCCTCGAACGGCCAGGGAAGTGGGGCAAGAGTAATTCTAGAAGGACCTAGGGGATAAATTTAGAACAATCCTTGCGTTTCTGGTTCAAAGCTTCAAACAATCAAGCTGAATATGAAGATCTACTGGCTGGATTAAGGCTGGCCGAGGACATGGGCGCCTCGCGGATCAAATGTCGAACCGACTCCAAGGTGGTGGCCGAGCAAGTGGGTGGTAATTTCCAAGTAAAAGACCACAACATGATGAAGTATTACCATGCCTACCAAAAATTGAGGGCAAACTTTCAGGAGGTGTCGGTCGAGCACATCCCGCGCGAGGACAACACCCGAGCCGATCAGTTGGCTAGGTTAGCCGCGACCAAGAAGCCGGGCCAATTAAGAACCATCATCCAGCAAGAGATCGACCACCCTAGTGTCGAGGCAGAAATGGTAGGTAGCGTCGACGCCGACCAAGCCAATCCCAACGCCCCCCCTAACTGGCGGGCCAAAATTAAAGCATTTCTCACCAAGGGGATCACACCGGACGACCCAACCGATGCCAAACGGTTGAGGACCCAAGCCAGTAGATATGTCATCATGGTTGGTCTGTTATACAGGCGTGGCTTCTCTACCCCGCTACTCAAATGCCCAGACCCCACCGAGGCCGACTACGTGATGTGAGAAGTTCACGAAGGTATTTGTGGAACGCACTCCGGAGCGAGAACGACCGTCTCCAAACTCTTACGAGTCGGGTACTATTGGCCGACCATGAGCACCGATTGCACAACGCTTGTGAAGAAGTGTTAGCCGTGTCAGAAGCACGGCAACTTGATCCACCAACCGGCCGAGCAACTACATTGCATCCCTTCCGCATGGCCGTTCGCCACGTGGGGGACCGACATACTTGGACCTTTTCCGGTTGCCAAGGGGCAATGTAAATTCCTCATCGTTGTCATGGACCTTTTCACCAAATGGATCGAAGCCAAGCCCTTGGCGTGCATCTCGGCTCATCAAGTTCAAAAATTCTTGTGGAAGAATATCATCACCCGGTTCGGCATCCTACACACCCTTGTGACCGACAATGGCCTTCAGTTCACTGACCGAAAAATCAACGAGTTCCTAGCCGGCCTAGGAATACAGCACAGGGTCACATCGGTCGAGCACCCACAAACGAACGGTCAGGCCGAGTCAGCCAATAAGGTTATCCTGACAGAGTTGAAGAAGCGACTAGGAGATGCGAAAGGAGCGTGGGCCGAGCAGTTGCCCAAAGTGTTGTGGGCCTACAGGTGCACACCCCAGTCGACTACACGGGAAACCCCTTTCCGAGAACTCACGCGCATGTACAAACCGAACACTCTCTAACCGAGAACTCACGCGCTCTGCACTATCAAATCGCTAATTTTAGACGAGCATGTACAAACCGAACACTCTCTAACCGAGAACTCACGCGCTCCGCACTGTATCAAATCGATAATTTCACGGACGAGCATGTACAAACCGAACAACCTCTAACCGAGAACTCTCACGCGATCTGCACGTGTATCAAATCGCTTTCACGGCCAAGCATGTTCAAACCGAACACTCTAATCAAACACCACGCTTCAATATCTGATCAAATCGCGAAGTCGGCCTCCTCGGCCAAGTATGAAGTCATTCTATTTTAACAATTAGGCATTTATAAACGGCAAAAAAGAAAATATTCCATTATGGCCGACCAAAACGACTACTTACAAAAAATAATCATCATCATCTACGCACCGGCACCAATGGCCAAAGTCATAAAAAGCACTTACG